GAAGGAATACAGCATATAAAGAGCATTATAAGCAGGAGAGCATAATAAAAATTGTTTGAGCGAGAAGCCCGGAAGATTCTTTTTTCAGGAACATTGCAGACTAACACCGACCAGAAACGAACGTAAGCGAGGACGACCAGCTTTATTAAGTTCATAACGGAGATACCGGGTGAGAAAAACCATCCCAACCTGGAAGAGAATTGAAAAAAAAAAAAAAAAGAAAAAGAAAGAAATACACCGGTAAATCTTAATCTTTTCACTTGTTCCTTTAAGCTTATCACAGCTTGGCACAAAGTTGCAATCGTCGGTTAACTAATAAGGATCAGACTCGCCAAACTAGAAAGGACCAACTAAAACAGGTTGTCAGCCATTGCTCTTCAACAGACGCCCGTATATATATATATATATATATATATATATATATATATATATATATATATATATATATATAATGTTCACTCAGTACAAGATACAAGAGCCATTCGAGGTAGAAGGTTTAAGAGTAAGAGGCACACTTTATGGGGATATGTGGGGAAGATAACTATGGATGTTATGGCTATTACTGCTGGGTTGATTCTTTCACCTAAACATCCAAGACTTGTTGAATTGCCTTCGTCGTTGAATAAATAGACAAAGAAAAAGGCGGAAGGATACGGAGATACTGGGTCGGGGACAGTTTAGGACATTGATTTTATTTCCCTTTTTTTCTTTTTTTTTTTTGATTCCAACGACCTCTTGTTGAGGAATTTCCTTCCCGAACAGTTGGCACGTGTTCACCAGTCAAAGGTCCAACAAAGAAAGAGATAGATTCTTCTAGTTTATTTTTGGCGCCAGGAAATTTTTTTTTTTATTTATTTGCACATGCGTAAATTGTCTTTCCTGTCAGAGGACTCCTGGGAGATTTTTATGTTTATTTTATTTTGTACTTTTATTTAATTTTGTATTTTTATTTTATTTCGTGTTTTTATTTTATCCCTACATAACGTGTTGACTTGAACAAGCCAAGATTGTAGTGATCGGGGAGGCATCATCATGAGAGTCGGTTACACAAAGCAGCAGTTTGAAAAAGCTGTTCGAGTGGAACTTACATTTCAGCAATGAAATACAAATGGAATCGGGGTGGTTTGCTACTATTGGCCTGGCATGGCGGATGTTAGTCATGAAGGTTACAACTGGTGGAACTAAGGAATGTAGTTCGTCTGAACACTTTCCATGGGAAAAAAAAAGCGATAGAGCAGTGAGAGCTTTGCGACGTTTTGTCTGTCAGAAAGAAGTTCTAGGGTGAAATATAATTTGTTACTCACAAGGAGTTGGAGACGCTTTTGGATTCTATCGAAAGTGGAAAGTGAAAATATTCTTAACAAGATTTATTTTTATGTCTTGGATCATAAACATTTTTTTAAAATATCGTTTTCATTGACTTACTAATTATTAAATAAAAAACAACATTCACTTAGTATTCTTTTTATTTTCCTCTGCGTGGCTTAAAAAATTACATCATTAATTTAATCCATTTTAATCTAGTTTGTTTAAAGTATATTCCATAAAGCCGGAATAATCAGATATTAAATAAAAAATGCTCTGTCTTATCTGGGATTAATTTACAGCTAAATAAATAAATTAATGTGATCATCCTCTAGATCTGCTAATTCCATATTTGTCAGGGGTTGTATATAGAGAGAAATTATGTAGGAAATTGAGTGTCAGATTTCCAGGTGTAAAAGACTTCAAACATATTACCATATCATTCCTTGGTTGTTTATAAGATGGAGAATATTCTCGGCTGTCTTGAATTCCCCGTATTCTGGCTGAAAACAAAAAGAAATTGCAAACAAATGAACTCAAAAAAATTAACAAAATACAGTCTGTATCTAAAACTTAAATTAATTTCTCTACATATCACTATATTCACTTATGTCATTCTGTTTCTCTCAACCTATCATTATCTATCTTGGCCTCTTCCTCTAAACATATAGATAGACAAACAAATAGATGAGTAGACGGATAAATGATGAACTTTACTCTATGGTACTTAGGCTTCAGGAAATTAAGCGCAGTACTCGATTGGCGGCAAGGTTTCATCATTTTACAATTTAAATGACTAGATGTAACCGTAAGTTCTATGCTAACAATACTTTCTATCGTACTTTTCACATATGGAAATCTCTTCTGGTTTCTTACATCACAGTCAACTTTGATCTTCAAAATTTTAAATGCAATGTCAATCATTATCTTCTGTCTTCTTTATTCCTTAAAGATAAACGATTAATATTTCTTTCCCCGACTTCAGTAAATGCTTATAAATTCAGATATAAACGACTAGTATTTATTTATCCTCGACCTAAGTAAAATACTCTTCCAGCTTCTTGCTTTCCAGACAACTTTGTTTTTCAAAACTTTCAATGCAATGTCAATCGTTATTTTCTGTCTTCTTAATTCTCGTTTTTTTTTTTTTATTGTTTTCTCTTGTTAATAATATATTTTTTTCATACATTGAGCTCTCTAATGTATATTCATTTTTTAGGAACTCTTCAGGATTATCCACTTTACCAAAGGATTATATATATATATATATATATATATATATATATACTACAATTCAAAAGTTTGAAGCCACCCCTAGAATTAGAATGGGATGAACTTGACAAAAGAGTGAAAAAACAAAAGAAAACGAGCTCTTAGACACATTGAAAATAGAATGGAATCAATTACCAAACTTATATTTTGAGAAACTTTTGCATCGAATGCAAAAATTTCTGCTGCAGTAATCAAAGCCAAAAGACGATATTTTGACGAGAGCAAAAATTTAATCATAAAATGCGTTTTTTCTATTTGTAATATATATATATATATATATATATATATTGTGTGTGTATGTGAAAACACATATATATAAAAGACGTACTTACAAATGTTTTTTCTAAGTTCCAACACCAGCACTTATTACAATATCGAACGAAGAGTCCGCGAAGGAAATCTTGCAGCAGGATCATGATAATAGTCATTAACAAATCCAAAACTGTGATTTTAAACACTTCCTGTAAAATGGGAAAATGATAGAAAGCTTATGGTAGAAAATAATTTCAGTAATCAACAACAGACAAATAAATCGACGGTGAATGCGAACATCTGAAGAATCAGTGTGATAAAAATGAAAGAAGAGAATCGACCTTTAATGCAATAATTAGCAAAGGCAACAGACTAGCCTGATAAAAGAATTTGAGATGATTGTGTGGAAAGAGTGATACACTAGCAAATATACCAGCGATTTTGAGTAAGTCATTCTAACCAATCGTATATATATATATATATATATATATATATATATATATATTCTACATTCAACATCATCACTTGATAAGACACCAGAAGTGTTGAAACAAAATGGCTATTTTTGTAGTGATTTATATAACATATTTATGTTACAAAATTTCGAATAAATTATATTTGCTCTACTCTGTATTGAGCACTCTTTTTAAGAATAGTATTTTGGTTATTGAATTTATTCCGTTTACAGTTATAGTTATATATATATATATATATATATATATATATATATATATATATAGTATAACATATATATTTTGACAAAAATAACTACAAAAATAGCCATTTTTTTCATACCTTCCGTTGTCTTATCAAGTGATGATGTTGAACATAAAATTAAAAAACATTTTACATTCAACATCATCATTTGATAAGACACTGGAGGTGTTGGAAACAAAATGGCTATTTTTTAGTGATTTTATAACATATTTATGTTATAATTTTATATATATATATATATATATATATATATATATATATATATATATATATATATGTTATAATTATTTTCTTTTTTAAAAAATACGATTCCATCGTGACACAGAAAATTTCCATGTTTCAAAACTGAAACTAAATTTATAAATTTAATTATTAAACTTAAAATTCATATTCTCGTTCCATTGTCAAGCGATGATAGGAATAAAAGAAATTTACTTAATTTATAAGCGCAGACAATATAGATATTATAAGTTATTAAGCTTAAGGAAAATTTAATTATTTTAATTTAGGGGTGGCTGAGTTTTTTAATTTCTCTAGACAGCTAATGTATCCAAAATATGTTAATTACAAAGTCAGATTAAGTTAAGGTGGGGTGGGTGTGTCTGCTAACAAACGCATACTTCCGTTATTCAGTGAGTTGTCTGGGTTTTCAATAATAAAAAAGGCAATTTCATTCATCAGCTTAATTCATATTTTTGTTCACGTTTGTTTCAGTTTTAATAATTAAATTTATAGAAAATTAGAAAATAATGATAGTATTTTGCTCTACTGTTTTATATCGAGCACTGTTTTTTTTTAAATAAATACTACTATATATATATATATATATATATATATATATATATATATGTATATGAAGAAATATAGCCTTAAGTTGTGCTCTATTTATGGGATAAAGTGCTCAATATCAGATATTTATATTATCTTGAAAATAAGTAAAACAAATTTTGGGGGGATTTTGATATTCAGACAAATCTCCTGATGGAAGCGGATAGATAGATAGATAGATAGATAGATTTGGTTTGTATGTGAATAAATAAAGGTCGACATGATAAAAAAAAGTTAGTCAACAAAGTAGATGGACATTTTTAGTGCGCCCGCATCACTATCGAAGGTCAGTATAAAGTGGGCTTAACGGCAATACTGTGGAAAAATTGCTCACACCTCGTCATCACTTCCCCTTTTGGGGTCGCCTTAGGCGCCGAGTAAGGCGACGTAGTGTCTGGAGAGGATGACTTTATCTTAATATTATTTTGATGTAGATACAATTATAATAAACCGATAGCGCCTTCTTTTCAGTGTTGTCACCTCACTGCACGGGGATACAGTCAGAGTATTCTTTGACCCCAGCCGAGAAGCTGCTCCCTATTTTGACTTTATGACAAATAAAAACTAAACTTAGTTAATAGCGCTAAATGATTAATTTAGGTACTAAAAACACAATTAAAAAAAAATCAATCATTGAGAAAGCTCCTTACCTGCCCAACGTATGTTTCCCAACATTTGAAAGGCTTGCACTCGGTTGCAGAAACTGCGGATGTTGTTAAGGTCATTCCGTGGGTTGAAGAATTGAAAAGCGCCGGGGTCCACACGGATGATAGCTGTGTTGAGGCAAGTCGACCTTTGGCCTCTGAACCATTTTCATTGGACTTTGACCCAGCTGTTGTGTTGACGCTACTGGAAGAACACTGGCTGCCAGTTATCTAGTCAAAGAAACAAAAATCACAATTTCATTTACTTAACACGTTCAACAGCAAAATACGTCAGTTTACATTTTAATTGCTTTACCTCTTTAACAACAGGTGGCATTAATTACGTAACGTCCCCTATTTTGAGATTTGAGCCTTATCTTCATTTTGTCCTCCACACACTGTTGGGATTAATGACTACTTTCCATAGAACTGCTTAATTTCTAGAGATATCGCAATTCTTCTTTTCATGGCGTTCACACATGTGCAAAAAGCCGTTGTCGCTGAAGGTGTTAAAGATGGAACAAATTTTACGTTTGTCCCTATCTTCTTGAAGTTCAACTAGCTTTGCAGATACAGCGTCGTGGCAGCCGGGTGGGTCTTGGCTCCCCCCAGATTTTTACATATTGTAGTATTTTTACAGGGTTTTATTTTAACAAATACAATAAAGACATGAATACAAGAAAGAAAAAAAAAACTATCAAAGCAAGAAGGTACTGGAAATTTTAAATGTTCTTGCCGCTAACGATGTTGATGACCATTGATAACTTAAGACTAAATTCTAAATTTTTTGCCCCAACACACAAAAAAAAACCATTTGTCTCTGCTACGGCCCTGAGATAAAAAAAAAAAAGTTAAAAAGTGATTTTAACAGATGATATAAGAATGGAATAAATTAGGGAAGATGATGAGGGTTTTGGTAATGAAATTGGCCAGTCCTGAAAGGATGTGCGTCTACAGAATGAATATGCCAGCAAGCAGACGACATTAATAAAGAAATGCACGATAAAGATACCAAATAGAATGAGGAAAGCGCGTCTTTATAGAAATGAGAAGCTGTAAAATTACAGATATCTAAATATTTACGTGCAGTTGGTTGTTCCGAGAAGGTTTTTAGTGCTTTTATTTATTAATTTTTTATGAGATGTGTAATGTTGTAATGGAAAACAAAGATGGCGAATCCTTTTGAGACGAAGTGGCTAAAATTGCCGAAAACATGGAAACTTAATGAAGATGTTCAGGTTCTACTGGACCATGTGAACTCAATAAGACCTTCGATACAGTTCACAATGGAGAAAGACAGTAACAACGTTTCCCATTCCTGGATGTTCTAATATCTCGAACAGAGAATGTTTAAGACATCCGTATACCGTAAACCGACATTCACCGGACAGTACCTCAATTTCTGACTCCCACCATCCATACAGCGTAAAGAAAGGGATCGTCCGCTGCTTACAACACCGAGCAAAAAGTCATAAGTGGCGACCCAGAGACGTTAGATAAAGAATTGATCAGTATAAGTCTACCCTACAATGCAACAACCACCTAGGTACATGGCAGCAGCCCAAAACTGGGGATAGGCGGGTACAAGAGGAGGAGGACAACAACACTCAGAAACAGTCTGCCCGCCTTTATGAAGGGGTTATCAGAGAAAATACAAAGGATCTGCGGTCCATATAACATCAGGACAACCTTAGGAGTATGACTAAAGACTGTGCGTACGCTATCCCGTGCAGCTGCGGAAAGGAATACAAAGGAGAGACAGGCCGCCCCCATAAGGTAAAGCTTCAAGAACACCAGAAAGCTTAACACGAGGGGAAGTGGAAAAAATCAGGCGTGGCTGACCACATATGGAGCGAGAAGGGAGATCACCTCTGTGGGATCATGTTGAGATCATAGACAAGGAACACCATTGGAAAATTCATAAACTTAAGGAATCAGCATATATGCTAGACCACAAAATCTCCTGAGCCAACCAAGCATAGAAATAAATACAATATGGGAACCAGTAATAAGGAGTGCCAGAGAAAAGCAATGATAACAACAAAGTTGCAATATGAGATCTGGTAAAAACATGATGTGATAACAGCAAAATTGCAATATGAGCACTGGTAAAAATGGTTGCTGAAGACATTAGGTTTATAACACATGGCACAGTGGATAAAGGCGTTGGTTAGATCCAGTGATAGGACCCAAACAGTGTGAGTTCAATACCCGATTAAGGCAGTGGAGTTTTTCAGAGGGAAATTAACAGGAGATAACTGATAACTGACATCCATCAAACATGGCACGTGGAACTAGAACAGTCGAAAATAAAGGGTTCAGTTCGAAGAAGAAGATTTTCGCTTGAGGATGAAATAGGGCTTGTTACTTTAACTCAATTTAATTTTAATAATTATATTGAGGTTTTCGGCTCTCATTTTGAAACATGAGAACTCTTATGTAGGAAGGAACTATATTTAAAAAATAATTATAATATATATATTTATATATATATATATATATATATATATATATATATATATATATATATAACGAAAAAGTCAAAAAGAGAGAAATCGTATAAAGGTTATCAGCATTTGCATTCATATCATTGAAAAGGTATGAATCCACTTCCCACACACACACTCTGTCCTGTTTACTTCTAGCTTGAGTGACGTGTCGACGATAAGCGTGATCCGATAGTATCGCAACCCTGAATAAATTGAAGTTATCCTACAACTTTTAATATGGCCAATGCAAGTGACTTAACACTGGCGATATTGTGACAATGGAGAATAGTTCACAGGCCTTGTTTACAAAGTCGAGAGGAGTAAAGACCAACTCCATGTAAAAACACACGAAACTATACACCATTGTCATAACGTCACGAATGCAAGGGAGATAAATCTAGACTTTTTATTTGATAAGAATATAATTATTTCCCTTAGGTTTGCGCTTTCACAACAATGGTGAATAGTTTAAATCTCTATAAGTAGTCGGGAGGTGAAAAGACCGATTACGTGAAAAACAAAAACAAACAAAACAAAAAACAATACCACAATAATAATTGGAAAAATGTATTTAAAATCTCACATGTAAGAAGATATGCCACTGTTTGAAGGGGTGGGTTGATTAATAATATAGAAAATTAAAATTTACTCAACAATTGAGAATAATAATTATTCCCGACAATTGAAAAAGACAGTTTGCTTACCTTTTCATAAAGAGAATACATCAGGGTTGTTACATTCAAAAAATTTAAAATGAAAACTCTGAAACAAAAGAAAAACATGAGTAAAATTAAATTCTTCAGAAATCCTTTAATAATCTTGACTGGTAATAAATACGTCTATCCAAAAATGTTGACCCATTAAAGGCCACCGTAAAATCAGGCATTAATTGTAAAGATTAAATGAAAAAATGCATTGTTAAGTATAGGTATCTCCTTCTTACTCTTCATTACCATTAGACTCACTTGTGGGGAAGAGGACTACATACTCACCACGTTATAGCCATAGCCTCTCTACAGAAACGTTTCTACCGTGGTTTTTGTAATAAGTTGTTTTTTTACGAAGTGAAGTTGCCACCCGCATACGCAACTGCTTTTTAATTCTGAGTTTTTTCTACTAGACTGGTTGCCAACCAAGGCTAGAGATCATTCTTCCCTGTCATTTAAGCCATAGCTATGACATGAGGAAGAGATGGATAGGTGCCTTTCCCAAGATCCTGCTAGGACTGACGAGCTAATATCGAGATGTGAGAAAGTCCTCTGCTAGAATATTTTTTAAAGATGCCAAGCGTAGGGGTCCGAGCCAAGACAAAGTCAGGATTCTGAGTATTGATTTTCAATATAAACTTGAACTGTTAGCACAATCTTATTACAAGAGAGAGTGTGTGTGTATGTGTGTGTGTGTAAGAGGGGAAGAAGGGGAGAGACGTGCGGGTGGCTGAACGGTTATCAGCGTGGAAGATGATGCCGGCAAGTCAAGTTGAAATTCCATCATTAACCTATAACTTCTCCTCTCAGTCATTGGGAAAATTAGTATCACAGATACAGGGTTATTTAGCCTTTGTAAGCCAGAAAGTTTGTCTCTGAATTTAAGTCAACACCAACATGATATGTGGCAGCATAGCAGGGTAAGGGGCTATTCCTCCCCATGTTTTACACACCATGCGGAAGGCAGTAAACTGAGAAAAAACGCTGTTATCTATCGATCTATCTATCTATCTATGAAGCAATAAAAAGTGTGGGGTGTGGGAGTGATATTCAATGTTAAAAATGACGTGGGGGACTGAATAATATATAGAATTTTAGAGGCAAATATGTACACAGCATTGACAATATTGATAAAACAGTTTTGCTTAATGTTGCCTATGTTACACGAAAATTGCTGTAGAAAATTGTCCATTCCAAACAAACACACACACACACACACACACACACACACACACACACACACACACACACACACACACACATATATATATATATATATATATATATATATATATATGTATATATATATATGTATATATATATATATATATGTATATATATATATATATGTATATATATATATATATATATATATATGTATATATATATGTATATATATATATGTATATATATATACATATATATATGTATATATATATATATATATATGTATATATATATATATATATATATATATATATATATATATATATATATATATATATATATATATGTATATATATATATATATATATGTATATATATATATATATATATGTATGTATATATATATATATATGTATATATATATATATATATATATATATATATATATATATATATATATATGTGCACATATATATATGTGTATATATATATATATATGTATATATATGTATATATATATATATATATATGTATGTATATATATGTATATATGTATATATATATATATATATATATGCAATGCTTTATGTCTGTTCATATGTATATATATATGCATATATATATATGTATAGTATATATGTATATGTATATACATATGTATATATATATGTATATATATGTATATGTATATATATATATGTATGTATATATATGTATATATATTGTATATATATATATATATATATTTTCTATATATATGTATATATATGTATAGGATATATATCTATATATTATATATATATATATATATAAATATATATATTGGTATATATATATATATATGTATATATATATAGCATATATATAT